CAAGGTCCTGGACTTGGGTCGGGGCAACCCCCAGTATCAGTACAGGCTGGAGGATGAAGGGGGTGGGAGCAGCCCTGCCGAGAAGGACTTGGGGGTACTGGTGGATGAAAAGCTGGACAGGAACCAGCAATGTGCGCTCACAGCCCAGAAGGACAATTGTATCCTGGCCTGCATCCAAAGCAGCGTGGCCAACAGGTCGAGGGAGGTGATTCTGCCCCTCTACTCTGCTCTAGTGAGACCCCGCCTGGAGTACTGTGTCCAGCTCTGGAGCCCTCAAAAAATGCTTAGGGGGACGGAACACCTCTCCTATGAAGAAAGGCTGAGAGAGTTGGGGTTGTTCAGCTGAGAGAAGAGAAGCCTTCAGGGAGACCTTATCACAGCCTGTCAGTACTTAAAGGGGGCTTATAAGAAAGATGGCGGCAAACATTTTAGCAGGGCCTGTTGCAACAGGATAAGCAGTAATGTTTTTAAACTAAAAGAGGGTAGATTTAGACTAGATCTAAGGAAGAAATGTTTTTTACACTGAGGGTGGTGAAGCACTGGCACAGGTTGCCCAGAGAGGTGGTGGATGCCCCATCCTTGGAAACATTCCAGGTCAGGTTGGACGGGGCTCTGAGCAACCTGATCTAGTTGAAGGTGTCCCTGCTGATTGCAGGGGGGTTGGACTAGATGACCTTTAAAAGGTCCCTTCCAACCCAAACTATTTATGATTTCTAAGACCTGGGCTACTGGCAGAATCTCCTGGAACCAAAACAAATCCCCCTCTAATACGGCTCCTTCTACTTCTCCTTTGTTCCAGAAGAATCACTATTCTTACTGCATCCACTTCATTTCTTTTTCCCCTAGGAGCGGTGCTTTGTTTCCTTACAATCAAAGCATCAGATGACTTCTGCATCTAATGCTGTCAATGGAGCAAACCAATGCACAAGCCAGATACCTTCACCTCATGCTGTCAAGTCTAGCTACACCACACGGTTTGCTGTAGACGTACTCAAGCTAACTCAGAGCCCAGCTAGTCTATCCATGCAAAATGATGTTGTTCTGACATCCCCGAAACCAATATGATTACTTAAACCTGGGCAAAATCCATCAGCCTTGCTATTCAGCATGGGTATTGCTTACATTTCCAAAATGAGCGCTACCTCTGCTGTTAGCACCATGCACTGCTGCGCAGCAAAGGTAATGCCACACTTGCTCTATGGCGCACATCATAGCAGACAAATTTATTTACTGTCTTACTTTTCTAGGAGAGGCAATTAGTCAAAAGGTAGGATCCTTGAAGGCAGAGCTGAGGTTCCCTGTGAATACTCATTCATCAACAGCTCCCGCCAGCTGTGCCCTATGTCAAAAAGCAGATTTCTAAGCCTTGGGAACTTGGACACTGACAGCTGAGAGAATGCTCTTCCATTAGTCATAACTCACAGTGCAAACAGCCTCTAGTAAACACAGATGCACTGGGGACAGGGATTAACCCAGACATGAGGACACTGTAATGAGTTGCTCTATATTTGCCTTCTTTAAATCTGGTTCTTGTCAGAGGAGTAAACAGACCTCATCTTTAACAGCAGTGCCTTCAAAGGAGCACTGCTAAAAATCAAGGTTAACGCTACTTATTGAGACACACAATTACACAGTTAGAGGGTCACTGCAAGTTTGCTGGGACATTATTATTAGTCCTTTGCATATTGAATATGACTGTCACGGTATCAGGGATGGGAAGAAAGAATGTAGGGAATGAGGGCAGGAAAGGGTAAAAACTTCTAAAAACACCTTTATACTGCAGGAATACGCCGCCTTTCATGTGAAACGAGGACAGACACAGCCAAATCCTAGCGAGAAAGTTCCTACTGAGAACTAACGCAAACTCCCACTCCCCAGCACAAGCACTGCTACAAAAAAGGCTGCCACCAGCTTCTTTTAACTTCTCTGAAAGCGATGGGCCCTCTTCCATGCTCAAGAGCATTTTCTACTGTCACTGCCGTGGCTCCATTCAGACAGCCTCCTGCCTGCACCCAACATGGAAGGAGCACTCTGGTGTTTTGAACTGCAGGCATGAAATAGAGGCAGATCTGCTCCAGTGAGCCACACTTAAAAGAAAGCCCATGGCAGTGATAAGCCTTTAAGAGCTGAAGGAAGGAAGAGAAGGCTGCACAGGTGGTCGATTCTCTCAAGAGGACAGAAGTTGGTGTCCTCTTTACACAGACTTACAGTAGTTTAGCTGAAACAAGGGAAACCTGTGCACTGACACTATACTCAGCCAGGCATGATTAGGTTATTTAAATCTGCTGTCAGGCAATGCTCATGGGAACACACTTTAGCAAAAGCTAAATGAGCTCAGCTGAAATTAGAGCACTTATGTGACATTTTGCACTCAGTTATCAGTTTACTGAAAAGTACCAACACCACAGCATAAGTCTTCTCTCTCTTCACAGGCTTTCTGAGCTCCTGTCAGGCATACCAGATTCATTTACAGGGAAATTAACAGGGACATCACTAAAAAAAAAAAATATTCTATTATGAGCATTTTGGTGGATGTTCAGCCAGCAGAGGACATTTCAGGCTGTTGTTTTGGATAACTGCAGAGGTTCTTGGGAACTTATTTGCAAAAGCATCTAGAGCTAAAGAGAGCACACTCCAAATGAAGCTACAAGCTATACGGACCTTTAACACTAGATAAGCAGATAGGGTCATTCTATGTTTGTGCAAATTGCACTTAAGTGCCCCAAGTCTCCGTAATTCTATGCATACGTTCTATTCAGCTGAAACGGGACACAAAAGAGTTCATAATACTGAGCTCCTCTGCACGATCTCTTCTTCTCCCCCCCTTCAAAAGGTCAGGCAAAAGCTATTAAAGGAGGTCCCCATGGATAAGTGGTCATTGTTCCATTAAAGCCAGTACAGTAAAATATTCCATCAAGGATGATTTAGCTGCCTTGCTCTGCCTGCAAGCTGAGGTCTGAGAGGACCCTCCTGTGATGTACTCAACTGGAGCTCACAAGTCCTACTGTTCAGCTGGGGCTTTGCCCATGAGCATGATGTATCCAGGTCACTTGATTGTCAACACAGGAGCAAAGAAAATTTGTGTAACGTGGGAACGAGATGGCAAAGCCCATCATTGTTTTTGAAGACAGAGAGCCACAGAAAACCTCACGTTTTAGATACTTGCCTCAACCTTGATGGCACAGCGCCCAATTGCTCGGACAGCCTTGCGCACAAAGTCAACATCCACCTCAGTAGCATATTCCTTGAGCTCTGCCAGGACCTGCAGAGAAAGCGCACCAACGTGAGTCCCTGGGGTCACACAGAGAGAACATCCCACTCTGTCAAATGATGCTACTTGAATACCAGAATACAAGCAGGACGTATTCTTCCACAGCTAGCCACACACATTCAAAGCTAACACAGTCAAACTCTGCAAGCAATCTCTATCTCTGAAACCCACTGGCTTGGACTAGGCAGCAAGACTTGGTCTAGGCTAGCCAAAGCCAAAAGATGGCTCGGTCTAGATTATTTTCAAATTTCCCCAAACAAAAGCTAGGGGCAAAATCAGCCCTGCCAAACTTAAACGTTGCTATTCCTTCCTACACTGAAAATACAGTGAAGTAGGGGTCACATCCATGCACACAGATTTTATGTACCATTTATTCTACTTATTGTTCTATATTCATTGTATGCAAAGCTCTCAGCTATCACCATTTTTGATCGCTCCTTTTCTGTGCTGAGATGAACCTCTGGATCCCTACTGGATCCAAAAGGAAGATGCAGAGGAGATCTGAGGACACCCTGGAACACCTATACAGAGATTAATAACAGTGTGAAGATATTTCCCCTCTTAAGAACAAGATTTACTATTCTGACTCTTTTTTTTTGCTGATGGAAACTGAACAAGGGCTTAAACCGGGACCTGCTGGGATCTTACAGACCACTAACTAAAAAGCTACTTTGTCTTAAACAAATCACGTAGCTTAGAAAAAATTATTTTTAAAAAAGACCCTATGCAATTTATATTCCCTCAAAATCTCATTTGTTTCAGTTTCTCATGTCAAACATGACATCAGGGATTTCATTGTGATGTCACAAATAGATTGCAAGGGAGAGGTGAACAGCACAAAGCAAGACAGTTGTTTGAAAAATCTCTAGTCGATGCCAATTGCTCAGAACAATGACAAGATAAAGAAGCCTTGAAAGGCCAGACTGCAGACAAATAAATCTGCAAGGAGTAGACAGGACATCTGTGTTTTTAAGTTTTATTATTTCCTTGGATGATTTATGTTGCACAGTACTTAGAGCACGCTGGTTTAGTAGCTTATGCTTTTCAAATACTGTCCGAGTCCAAGTGCCTCGGATTCAGCTAGTCTGCTGCCTTGATCTAGGATGGGCACGGAGATGAAGAGTCTCGACAAGCACACAGGGAGGATGCGGGTAGAAACCTGCTCTCCTTAGGTCTCATTTCAGGGCGTATTTCTGATGAAGCTTGTGTTGTTTTTACGAATACCTCTTTAGAACCAGGAAGAGATTCATTCATTAGTCTGCAGATCCCAGTCCCAGACTCTGCCCTCCAGACACCACTGCCTTTCATCCAAACAACCTGCGTTATCTAAACATTATGCATTAAAATTGGTATGGAGCCTACCAAGAGTAAATAGAAAATTCTGAATAGATTCTCATGGAAACTGATTTTTAAAATGTTTTCCATGTCCCCAGCACAAAAGGGGTGTGAATTACCTTGCTCTGTTCCAAAAAACATCGGAGGAGAGAGCTGAAGAGAGCTGCTTAAAAATGTCATATTAAATGAAAGCGCTTTGAGACAATTAGGATAGGACAGTAATAGCACTAACCAGAGGCATTAATCATTCTGCATTAGTGTTAGGTCTTGTGGCCAGGGTGCCACTCGAGAACACTTCCTTTAAGAAAGGAATTTGGATTAAAACTACATCAAATCCAAGGAGAATCTACACTGTAAAGCAGTCTCAATTCAGCTTAGTTTTAGCTTTGTGCAATTTCCACTCTGGAAGCAAGTTAAGCAAAATAAAGGTTATTTTAGCTCTGAAGAGTGCCTGTGCAAGGGTTTAACAATTTAACTAATACACTTGAAATTCACACTTCAGTCATGTTTGGCCTTTCTGAATGCCTCCATTACAGGCACACCTCTCTCACTTGAAACAAGCCTCTCATTCCAACCTCACCACTAGCGGTGACTCATTTGACAGGAGACATCAGCTCTCCTCCTGGAATTGTAATCTGTAAAGCAAGAACTACCAAACGGTCACGATGCCAAGACATACCATGCTATTAACATTTAAATTACGGAGGAAACTCCAACACCTCCCATTAAGTAGCTGCAAAGAGCACTATACCAGGGACAGTGATGCCTAAAAGCCAGGACAACACTAGCAGCAAGTTGCATACATCCTCATGCAAGGACCATGAGAGGGTTTTCCATCCCCAAAACACATCAGAAGTTCCTCAGCTGACCTGGGCAATGTTTGCCTGAGAAGCTAGGCGGATCATGATGTCCAGTTTCTCCAGTTTGACATAGATGGGGTCGTTGTACTTCACAAAGAATACCTTGATTTCCTGCTTGAGGATTTCAGGCCTGGAGGGAACATAACATTGTTTCACTCAAGACTGGTAAAAACAATGGGCTCTATCCTAACCACAGGTATCTTTTGTTTAGAAATCTACCCAAACATTCACTGAGAAACAGAATGGTGTCATTTTGTGTCCCGGACATGCAAACAAACATATGAGAACAACAATTTTAAGAAAGTTAGAAGGCTGGAGAAAAAGATTGTTTAAATACAAAATGCAGAATTCAAGTGTGTCTAACTATGCCTACATCTCTACTTCCTCCATTTGAACTGCTGAGCCAACCACTGCAGAGCCAACCACTGCAGACAGTCAGTGGATGTCAGTGTTTTCAGTGAAAGAATAACATCCTCATCTCAGTGCAAAACCCACCTCCAAACTCATTTTCTGCTTTCACTTGCAAGACGCCAGTGCACAGTAACTCTGCCCTGAATACAGTCACAAAGTGCTATCCAACCTATCCCACCTTTCCAGCAAGGAACAACAGTATTTAAACATGCGTGTGGGAGTAAACTGGTGAAAAAAAACACCTACTGTATGTCAGCATGTCACCAGCCTGGCTCTTCTATGCTGAAGAGAATAGCATAGGCACATTGAGTTTCTACAGGTCACTATGAACTGTACAGTTACACCCTCCTTCCTACCTGCAATCTGATTTGTACTATAAGGAGAGGGCAGCTCTTACTGCTCTTAAAAAGGTGGTGAAAAGCGAGGCGGATAAAGATACACTGTATGATACTGGTATCACAAGTATGCTGTAAAGAAAACTAATTCAGGCTACCAGAGTCATGAGACTGTTTAATCTGTCCCTTAGGGGATCTGAACCTGGATTAAATGAAGTTCTGTGCATGTGGAAATATCTGAAGATCTGAGATAACCAGATGCCCTTTGACAACACAGGAATAACACCCCCCTGAGGCTTTACCTTTTCTGCACAATCAAGTTGATGTTCCTCAGGGCAACATACTGAACTTCGGGCTCTCCAGACAGCAGGGTCACCAGCGGAGGGGCAAGTTTCTTCAGCAGCATGTTGTAATAGTCTGAGTCCTTGGGAAGAAGTTCCAGGAACTTCATCAAGACTTTCACTGCTGACAGCACCACTGCTGAGTTGGCATGAGACAGCCGAGGGGTCACTCGTTCACAAATACTGAGACAGAGGAGTAAGAAAAGATTCACAGGCATTTCAGAATGTCAATTTTTTCAGATCTTATCTGAATTTAGGAGACCATACATGGCCAAAGACAGGTTCTTCAGACACTTCTTTGATTTGGTTTTGTTCACAAAGAACAGGCAAAGTCCTACTTTCCTGAACACAGCAGGAAGCAAACAAAAACGACTTCTCTCACAGCTTCAAGTTCTTCTCCTGCCACAGTTAGCTCAGGAACTCTTCCAGCTCTCAGCGTTACAGTCCCAACGCATGTTCAGTTTTTAGCACTTCCTGCCTTTGCCTGGTAGTATTCTCTATTTCTGCGATCTCGTCTGTCACTTACAAACACAACTTTAACAAAACAGCTATCAGAAAAACACTTTAGCCCCCATATAATCATTCAGAGGTGATACACACTTCTGGTTTGCTTGGGGTGTTGCTACCATTTCAACCATTTGTTTCTGCAAAAAAAGGTTTCTGTTACTCTGAAGATATAGGGAAAAAGTGACCTAAATACCCTCCCAAGTCTCAGCTTCACCACTTGCCTCACTGGATCCTATAATCAACAGCATCCTAAACAACCCATCCCAAGCAGAAAGGAAGTTTGGGTTCATATGGTCTTTCTTACAGCATCTGTCAAGTTTATTCCCACCCCCTCCTGCATATTGCTAACCCAGAACAATCTTATTCCCATCTGTGCCTCAAAGTTTCTTTCCCCGAGTGATTTGCTTTCAGCCACCCTGGAAGGGAAGCAGCATGGCTAAGTGAAGAGCAGAGGAGTCAAAGTCGGGGGCAGTCCCCAGCTGCTGCTGCCCAAGGTCACCTGGCTTGCCAAAGCTGCTTCATCTCTCCCTGCCTCAGTTTCTCCATGCACAGGGGTAATGACACCAGTCTTGCTGTGAAGGAGAACCCTATATAAAACTCGGTGCTGCCATTCTCCTATCTGAAATAAGGCAGGCTCTGAGAGTTAAGCTCCACACAAAGGAGTAAAAGTAGTTACTGCCCATCCAGTTTTATACACCACCCTTCAGAGGAATTACAGATGAGGAACAGGGACATGTTCACGGTTGTTCAAACTAGCAGTCCCTTTCTGACAAAGCTAGGATAATACTGGCCTGACACCCTGGAGATGTCTGCAGGTTTCTAGCGCTCATTAATAGCTGTTTCTGGCACAGAAACAGAGCACAAGGGGGAAGGAGGTAGGAGAAAAAAAAAAAAAATCAGCAAGGCTACTGGCAGGCTTCTTTAAAAAAACGGATTATCTGCTGTGCTTCAAAAAACAGTCAATGAAGAAACCCATCAAATTTGAGAAGGCCTGCCCAGGATTTTGCATGTGGGCTTGTACCCCTTCCTCCCCCTCCACCCCCCACATCATCTACATAAAATATATCAAGTCTGAGAATCCCCCTGTTCCAAGTAATTTTCCTTGCTGGTTCCTTGTTCTCTTGGGTACAGAATTTTACTTTTTGTGATTCTGGACACAGATGAAGAGGAGGCTTGAAGTGCACGAATTAACACCCCACTACCTACACCCTAAGGTCTTTGTATTTAGGTTTAGTCATTGCAGCTAAAGGTAAAAGCACAAGGGTGAATTTGGAGTGATAAGAAAAGTAATTTCCTAGCTTTATTTTCAGTTCTGTCATATCACAGACTAGTTTTTAGTTGGAAAAAATATTCCAGTCTCAGACCTGCAGTACTTTGGAAGCCCCCAAACCTGTAAGGGCTTCTTGCCTCTCAAAGTAGCAAAAACAGATTTGAAAGCTCTGCTTCAAAACAGAAGCTCCTCCAAACAATGCTTCCAGATGGGTCAATCATTGTTATAGGTTTGGTCTTGGGCTGATCCCTTCTCAGTAGTGCCAGTTGCCATAAGAACTAGCCTTTTAAATGGAAAAAAGTTAAAAAAAGCTAACGATAAACAGAGAAAGTGGTTCTGCAAAGGCAAGGGGCAGGTTTCCAGCATCAGCCCAAACTACCAAAAGTCGCCTCCCTTTCAAACCTCTTTTACTTCAAGTCTTATTTGTGCTGTTACAGACCTGAACAGAGACACCCCCCCGTTATTACAAGCCCTTTTCAGAATTGCAACGCTGCCAGAAGCCTGCAAGTGCCCTGCTACCAAATAACCTTGAATGGCCGGTGCAAAGAGCAGGAACAAGCATACCTCTGAGCTTCGCGATCATCCTTGGGGTTGTAGTTGGACAGACAGTCCAGGATGAAGATCTGGCCCCACTCTGTGCACTCATTTAAAGCTGTCAGCAGCTTGTTAATGTTCTGAGGGTTCAAATCCAGCAGGTTGCTGTTGGGATGCGATTCACTGATTTCCGACAAGGCAGCCACAGCGTTCGCTACCACCTGGGAGAAGAGAGAAGATGCGTTCTTTGCTAGCATGCCACCAGTGGCTTGGCAGGGATTAACTTGGGCTTAGCATGGGTTACACATGGGAAACAAGCACGGAGATCCTCGTGTGTGCTATCAGCTGCTCAGCAGCAGCTGCCATGTCAGTATCTGAGCCTTCAGGGACCCAGTACAACCTCACAAACAACCTGGAGAGCCCAAAGCTCAACTGTAACCTTGCCCTTTGCCAAAATTTGAGGAGTCTCTTGGGGAGGAAGTGAAAGAATAGCAGCACAGCAGGAGGGGGCTGCTGACACACAAAGGAAACACGAAAAGCCAGAATGGGTGCAAAGAGCATTTTGCTAGAGAAATTACAACTTGAAAGTATTTTTGTTGAAGACAAACAAAAGTTAAAGTCGCCTCTGGACAGAATGGGGACCTGGGACTAGGACCTCACAACAGACTTTACTCTAGAGGGAGCTAGAGATGGCATCAGAGAGTATCCACAGACACAAGAACATCTCACCTTCCTGCAGGCTCCAAACTTCCACCCTGGCTTGCTTTAAGTAGGCATCATATCCCCCCACTTCCAGGAGATGCTCAACTGATATAATCAAGGTCTCAAAACCTCTCATTGCCCTACTCGTTCAGGAATGGATGCCTCTTGCCTCATTTCCCCTTGGCAGTCCTGTGGCACACTCCTTAACATGATCCGAGAAATGAGAAGAACCCTCTCCTCAGTAAGGGATGTCAGATGCCAGGCAGCCTTCAGCTCTGTAGCAGTTCTGTCAGGTCACCCAGTTGGAAAGCAAACACAATTTCCCTAAAATGGACAACTCCTACTCAAGTTTTTAATAACACATATTTCACTTCCAAATAGTCTCCATAGCATCCATTTGTCTGCTTTACAGAGTTCCCTTAAAGCAAGCACTCCAGCACAACTCATCACTGAAAATATTCTTGCTACATTTAAGACTATGTAAGGTCTTCTCTTTTCTAAGCATGGATGAAAGGAAGCAGAGAGGAGATCCAGGGTCCAGCTTGGCAAGAGCGAGAAGAGGGAGCGCAACTTCTAATTCTTAGTTCCATGCTCAAGTTCAACAGTTATTCTAACAGATGCCATGTGAATATTTTTAAAATAGAAGAGTTGCAGAATATATATACAAAAATAGAAAATTTGCAGACGTCTTATTTTTTTAACTAACTAGAAAAGGGATTTAAGCCTGAGTTTGACACACAAAACTGATATACCCTGTGAAAAGGCATTTTCAGGATATTTTACAATGTATATCATGTCCAGCCCAACTGACAATTCATACCTGCTAAAGTGAAGACTTAAGCATTATATTCTATGGGATTAAGGCAAAGAAACATCTTATCTAAAACCATCTGATTCTTTGGATGACTAAAGATGCTTTTGATGAAGTATACTGAAAACAAGAACAGCGCGACCAGAAAATTCTCTGCATTGTTCCCGTCACTGCTTGTCATTAAACCAATATATTCCAAAGTCATTGCACAAGCACAGTAATGTTGATTGTTTTGCATTTCACACCTAGAGGTCAGAGATAGGATTTTGATCCAAGATTTTATGAATTTTGTTAGTTAAATGAGCCTTCTGTCACCAAAATCATTAGCAATCAGAACTGCTGTCTTCTTGTACTGTTTTAATGAGTAACTTATTAAGATACGCTGCTTATTCTTCCCATTATTTAATTTGCCTAATTCCTGAGTGGTTAATGTGACACAGCATAAAACTGAAGTAAAATACAGTTTTAGTTTCATCATATTTTGGAAGTTTTCAAGTGAAGACAAATCATAAAAAGCAACTGAAAAGCTCAAAACCATTAGGAAAAAGCAGCTATAAAATGAAATGAGGACTTTGGAAAAAAAAAAGTAATAAAAAAAGTGACAGAGCCAAAGCATCGCAGAAAGGTACCTGTCAGCTGTATGAAGGAATAGGGCTGAGCTTTGGCAAATGCACTCACACTGCCAGTCACTCCCTTCATCACAGTAATTGGGCCAAACCCTGGGGCAGGTACAAGTCAAAGCAGCTGTGCTTAATTTCTTTCCTCACAGAATAAGTGAAGTCTATTACTTTGAGTTTGCCACAGGCAAAGGGTGCACAGAAATGCTGTTACCGTGGGCTGCCTGGTACACAGTAGCTCCAACCCAGAGACCTGACCGTGAACGAGGTCTTGCTTTTAGGATCTTTTTGTGTTCTTTTCAGGAACTAGCATGGCAGCATAAACGCAAGCATCCAAATCAAAGCTGAGGATGGGACACTACATGGCAACGCGCTAGATGTCAGATTTCCATTAAAAGCATCCATGAGAGACTGTCAGATGGCAGGACACACTTAGGAGTATGGGCTGTGGTCTCCTTGGGTGTTACAAAAGAAAAAAAAAAAAAGGACTGCAAGGGGCTGTGAAACATTTGGTGGTAGCTCAGTTCTGCCAGATGGGCTGGGATATACAATCTCATAGTCCATAATTACAGCTGGTCCTCACTTTCTACCTTAGCAGAACAGTGCTGCTGTCAACAAAATAAATTAAGCAAAAGGGGATAAGGGAAGGGATGGGGAATATCTTCAAACTTTAAGCAACATTTATTTTAAAAAAAAGTACTTGCTGGCGATTCGCACTGAACATATTGATATGTTACGGTATGCCAACAAAAATAATTAGCATCTTCAAGGCTTTTTACACAGCCACAGCACAGTTGAAATGAAAACAGATTTCAGGAACCAGTCCAACATAAACACTGGTTCAAGTACGCACGCTCACCTCTCTTCATTGGCACTGCCACTGGCTTCATTACGAGACAGGAACATAGAGCAATACAAGCCGGCACTGCATGGTTTCATTCTACTACACGACTCCTACTTTGCTGACAGCTCTCACCAAGCGATGGCTCAGGCAACATGTAAACAAAGATTGAAGCGTTGTCCACAGTTTGGGATACTAACAGTTATCACTCAGGTATGGAAAAAAAGTCCATTAAGAACCAGTCAACACCAATTCATGTATTACATCAGCTGGTAACCTAGTATTTTATGTGACTACTTTGGCAGTCACATAAGTGTCATTGGAAATATTTAGAAAGATGTTGTGGCCAAAGAAAATCTACAACATCAAAGCCAAATCTTAAGTCTTCAACTCAGTTGATACTTCTTCCATAACAGAGCAACACAAGATAGCGATGAACAGCAAGTACAAGGTACAAAGTGATAAAATAAGCTACGCAGCAGGTTGGGTTGTCTACCTTGCAAATAAACAGCAGTGATGATGTACTTGCTGGGGGACATATTAAAAGTAAAGCTAAAGCTTTACAAGTGGTATAGAACGAAGCCCTCCATGGCAGTGGAGAAGTTTCACAGCCAATGCCATACCTTGGCTGAGGAAAAAAAGCCATAAGCTTCTTTAGCAAACAAAGTATTCTCTGCTTTTCAAAACATGCAACAAGTTCATTGTGATGAGAAACCAACCAGGAGTTGGATAACTTACTTCACAGATTGGAAGGAGACGACTAAAAGGACAAGAAACTAACATCTAGTATAGTCTTTAGTTCTCAAAAATAATGAAAAAAAACAAGGTCAACCCACTAGCCAGACATGTGAGCCCAAACAATTAATGAACAGGAAAAACTTTTAAAAGTTTAAACTTACAAGTTAACCCCATGCCTCACTTGACTCGCAATTAAGAATACCGTCTTTAAGCTAACAGCTACCAACCAATGAGAATCAGCCTAAAAAAACCACCTAGAAAGTACAAATGCAGAGCAGATTGAAGATTTAATAATAATAATAATAATAGGTCCCTGGCTTGCTGATTTAAATCCGTTCACCCTGGGACACTTCAACATTATTCAAATGCAGTCACAGCAACATCCCATTAGAGCACAGTTGAGCTGAATGACAATAAACCTGCTTTTTGGCTGGAATTTCCCAACAAATTTAGACTCTCAGAGAAGTGTCATTGGGATGAGGATAATGAAGTCTCACAGGCTCTTATTAAAAAAACAAAAACAAACCAAAAACCCCGCACTTAAAACAACATTACAGATTTAACAAGAACCCAACGTTTTTAAACCCACCTACAGACAAACCCCCTCTGCAGCCAGAGAGACCAGATCTGACCTCACGGAGAGCTGCAGAGGTAGGAACACTGATTTGCCAGTTATTCCTTCTGGCAGCTCAAACCTTTAGCTCAGAGCAAATGGTATAAAATACATCAACAAGGAGGAAAGGGGGTGGGTGAAAACCTGAGTGTCTGCCTATCAACCCACACAGAGAAGCTCTGCAGCAGGTGGGGGGGACAGGAGGGAAGCTAGGCAGATCTAGAACGCCAAACAGCCAAAGCAATCGGATTATTTTGCTAGCATCCCAGACTAATTGGAAATTAAACCAACTGTGTAACGGAGTTAACGAAATACAATGTTCTGCTGCTTAAAACAGGAACCTCTGGCTTACTATCCCATTAAAATGAGAAGAAAATGAAGACAAGGACGAAAAATTAAGAGACTCTGAAGAGATGCTGAGGAAAGGCAGCCTTCCCCACATAGCTGGAGGCTCCTACCTTCAAGAGAGCCAGGCACCACGTGATGTTTTCGAGAACGGAGAGGTGCTGACATTTTCAAAGAGCATGCTGAGCTTGCATGGCACCTTCGTGTCATTTAAGGACAGACTCCCAGGTGGGATATTAGGGGCATCCGCATGGATATGTGTTTCACAGGGCCACTTGTTTTCACGGCCACAGATGATGCTGTGTGCCTGAAAGGTCCCTAACAAGTACCAACACAGACAAGCTCGCTCTCCTGAGTACAGGACCCCTACTTCTGCTCATGTTAATTATATCTTTCATCTACAAGCCCCCCTTTACTTCGCTTCCCTAGAAATGGTCTATGAACTATTAAAATGGCCCAAGCAGGCAAGTCACAGAGCCTCTATGAACCTCTTGCATCGCTAACGCATGTAACGTGTGTGGCTTTAAATTAAAACCCTGGGAGACTAACACATC